ATAGAAGGGAATTAACTGTAAAATGATTGGAATTGAAGTAATAAAATTGTAAAGATGGCCACTCCAAACAGTGATCATTGATATGCCGAAATATAGATTTTATTAAAGTATTGGAAATGCTTCGAGCAACGGTACAAATATCTATTTATAAAAAAATAACAAGTATCATACGTTGAAAGTACCTCTGAATAAGGTTGAAATTCTATAACAAAATTCCCCGAATGATATCAACTAACCAAGGGTTTCCTTGCTGGGGTAAATAGTTTTATCCAATCATATCAATTTTGTCATCGTATTGGGCAAGAAGTTCGGCAAATCATTGATTGTTTACGCTATCACCGAATGGGCCACTGAATTTGTATATACCTTTGTACACTAGTATGTATGGATAATTCTCCTATAAATCAGATATAGCTTGACATAATTGATGAAACACAGTGAAAATCAATCATCATAGTACTTCTTTGCTGTACTGTTAATACCTACTAAGTAGTTGTACTAAGTAGAATACAGTATTAACTGTTAATAGTAGTACTAATACTGTATTACTATTAATACTGTAGTAGTATCTTGTACTGTAGTATATACAGTGTCAAATATCATCCTTTACACATTTCTGTACTACAAAGTACTGTACTGTAATACAACGTAGTATACGTATAGTAATCATTAACTGTAAGCATACTCTATGCGGTATCAAAAAATTTCCTTCTACTACTCCTAGTAGTCCCCGAAAAAGTACTGGCATCATGCTCTCATCGGATGTACCAGCCCTTCCTTTGAATGCAAGGTTAACTGAAAACTACTCCATTCTGTACATCCGCGTGGACTACGTACTTCACTTGATTAACATATACTAGTACAATCTACTGTACGTACAATACTATGTACTGTAGTGACTCAGGAAGAGTATAGTTGTACACTGTACAGAATATCAGTCAAATTAGAACATTGTTGATTACATTCCAGAATTACTGTAATTACTATACTTAGGTCTAAATAGTGCATTGAATATCTTGAGATAGCATAATATGACGCATTTGGACAGTTACGTTGAATTTGATTAAAGTATGTATTGATTATTTTGACGCGTTCGACGGTTACTTAGACTTGATTAAAGTTAGACTTGATTAAATTATTGTGCACAGACAACAACAATTGTATACCGCTTACGCTTTGGGCGCAGTCTCCTTGTGTTCATCATATCCTTCGATTAATACTACGTAGTAGTAACGTTATTTATACTACGTATTCGTTGAATAGACCGCTCAATTCCAGTGTCAGTACTACGTTGT